TGAAAAGAAACAAAGCAACAGGAGCAGATGAAATTAATGGAAACGTAATTATAGATTGTTTCGATATATTAAAACATATTCTTTTTAAAGTTTTTAGAGCTTCTATAAATCAAGGAATTTTTCCAGAACAATTAAAAGTTGCTAAAGTTACTCCTATATTTAAAGAAGGTGACAGATCAAATATTAGCAACTATCGACCCATTTCTGTTCTTTCGGTATTTTCAAAAATTTTAGAAAGAATAATGTCTAATAGAATATACAAACATCTCAACAAAAATAACTTACTGTACAACAAACAATTTGGTTTTAAAAAAAATAACTCAACAGAGCATGCAATAATCCAGTTTGTGCATAAAATCTCAAAATCTTTTGAAAAATCACAGTATTTGTTAGGTATCTTCATTGACCCATCAAAAGCTTTCGACACGGTAGATCATCACATTCTGCTTCAAAAACTTGAATATTATGGAATTAATGGTATTGCCTTAAAATGGTTTAGAAGCTATTTAACAAAAAGAAAACAATTTGTAATTAGTAACGACGGCTATCAAAATAATTGTCTTGATATCGTCTGCGGTGTTCCTCAGGGTTCAATCCTCGGGCCCCTACTTTTCTTGATATATATAAATGATCTGAATAAAGCTTCTAACCTTATAAGCATTATGTACGCAGATGATACCAATCTATTCCTCTCAAACAGTAATATATACGATCTCTTTACTACTATGAATAAAGAATTAAAACATATATCAAACTGGTTTAAATGTAATAAGCTAACTTTAAATATTAATAAAACCAAATGGACTCTATTCCATTCGCATGCAAAAAAGCGATTTTTACCAATAAATTTGCCGCAACTTTTTATTGACGAAATTGAAATAAAAAATGATTCCGTTACAAAATTCTTAGGTGTTTATCTCGATGAAAACATCTCCTGGAATCAACATATTAATTATATATCTACCAAAATTTCAAAAAACATTGGGATTCTATATAAAGCTCGTAACTACCTAAATAAAAATTGCTTAAAACAACTTTATTACTCTTTTATCCACAGTTACATAAATTATGCCAACACTGCTTGGGGGAGTACTGTAAAAAGTAAGTTAAAACTTCTTTATCGTCGTCAAAAGTATGCGATCCGCATAATTAACTATGCCGATCGTTTTACACACACAAAACCTCTTTTTACTGAAATGAGATTGTTAAATTTATTTGAACTCAATGTATTTAAAGTTTTATGTTTTGTATATCTATGGAGAAATAATCAATCCCCTACCGTTTTTAATAATACTTTCAAACTCAAACCTAACAACAAATACGACATGAGAAACATAAACTTTTTAAAAGAACCATTTTGTCACACAAAATTTAATCAATTTTCCATTGCTTATCGTGGACCCCACCGATGGAATAATATAGTTTTGCAGAATTTTGATTTACCAACTTCCTTTTACCTTTTCAAGCTCAATCTAAAAAAATGTATTATTTCACTTGATAATATACTCAGATACTTCTAATACTTTGAAAATTATTATACAACTTGAATTCAGTACTTTATTTTAATTTTTACTTTATTTTTTAGTATCTTATACTGGTATTTATTTTGCTTGTTTGTGCTTTATAAGGTTCTGATGACAAGATCTTGTGATCTTCTTTCAGATCCTAGCTTATGTTTCATTGTAAGCAGTTTATGTATGTGCGCATCTACGCATTTGTATGTGTATATATGCTTATATTTACATATGTATGTCCGTGTTTTTTCTTATTTTAATTTAGTTGATAAATGTTGTAACACGAATTTAATTGTAACACGATATATATGGCATATATAATTGTACTTTGACATTTTAAAGTAAGCAAAATTTAAAAAAAAAAAAAAAAAAACAAAAAAAAAAAAAACATATATATATATATATATATATATATATATATATATATATATATAATTAATATATTGTTTATATTTATACGTATATATACATATATATATATATATATATATATATATATATATATATATATATATATATATATATATATATATATATATATATATCAAAAATCACTTAAAGACACAACAACCCTTGTGCATTTTAAAGACTTTTATGTATGCCATTGGTTTCGTTTCATAGCGAAAGTTTATTTTCCCCCAACTAAAATGGTAGATGTTCGCGGCAAAGATTATGACCTATTTCCGACTGCGAGGATTACACCTCTTCGTAGGTCACCCCATGGTGGAGTATCTAGGAAACGCAAAGCTGACACAAGTACTTGGAAACAAAATATAAGAAAAATGCAACGTCAGTCGGGTAAAACTTATAGAAATTCGAAGGGTAAACAAGTGCCAGAAAGATCTATCGTAACGCTTAAAAGTTGCAATAATTGTAAATTCAAATGCTCTACTAATATAAGTGAGATTTTTTTTCACATGTCTTCCACATTTTGATTGCATAGGTGCTCCAGTAGTTAAGCATTTATTAAATTTGTGAGAATTTTTTACTCACAAATTTAATAAATGCTTAACTACTGGAGCACCTATGCAATCAAAATGTGGAAGACATGTGAAAAAAAAAAAGCTTACCACAAGATTCTAAAAAAATTGTACAAGACCATATAAACCTTTTTTATGAAAAAGACGCATAAAGAGTATATGGAAGGATCACTCAATATAGGTAAACTGTATGATCTTTTTAAAGTATATTGTGATGAAAATGGCTATACACTAGTATAAGAACATATGTATCATTATATCTTCAATCACGAGTTCAACATAGAATTTTAAAAACTAAAAAAAGATTTATGTGATACATGCTATGAATATTGCAACATTGTTAATGCAAGCAATGAGCAGACAGAAAGTTATAATAAGCACACAATATCAAGGAATGATACCAAAACTGAATGTGAAAAAGATCGTCAAAACGTTGATCCTAAAACAGCAATTGTTTGTATTGATCTTGAAAATGTTTCAAGTTTGCCTCGAGCTAATGTTGGTAACTTTTTTACAAACGGAAACTTTCAAACTATAACTTAACTGGTCATTGTTCACTTAACAAAAAAGGTTATTGCATCCTTTGGCATGAAGCCAAAATAAAAAAATGAAGGGAAAATAAGGGCGTTAGCGTTATTTTAATAAATTTTTTTTAATTAAAAATAAACAACGGAACAATCTTAAATCTAAAGAAAAACTTTAAATTCCATATAATATTTTTAATTTAGCAGCAAACAAACTCAAACTTTGACATCGATTTTCTCAGTTTGCAAAAACATGGACTTAGAACAAGATAATTCTAACGTCGCGTCTAACTATTCTAACTATACTATTAGTATGCCGAACATGAAATCTTTTTTAAATGCACACAATCAAAAAATTATGACCAACAAAAAAATTCCACCTAAAACCAACTGCAACTGCCTTATTAAAAATTCCTGCCTTTTATCAAACCAATGCTTAACGAAAAACATTGTATACCTAGCCAATATAAGTTCCAATAATCCTACTAACACTCTTGTCAACAAATTCTTCATTGGTATAAGTGATACACCATTCAAAATTAGATATGCCAACCAAATAAAATTATTTAACAATCTAAAATACAAAAATGACATCGAATTATTAAAAGAATTTTGGAAATTAAAAGATGCCAATTTAAACCCAATTGTTAAATAGAAAATAATTAAGCAGTGCAATGCTTACAACCCAACCACGAAGTCCTGCAAACTATGCACAAACGAAAAAAATGAAATTCTATTTTTTAAAAATAAAAACCTGCTGAAAAAAAAAAGTTAAATGGTATTCAAGTGCAGGCATCAAAACATGTTTTTTCTCGCCCTATTTGACACGAGTGATTAAGCAATTTTCTAATTAAAAAATTGTTTGTTTTGATGTCAGGACTCATTCCATTCTCCGGACAAACAGTCTTTTTGCACCGGATGTATTTTCTGTTTTCTACGCTTGTTTGTTAATTTCGAGTTTTATAGTGATTTTAAAAGACATGCAAGTTTGGTTAAATTATTTCTAGTGTTTATTTAAGACTTATACTGTATTACAGTATAGTATAAATCTATTTGTCAATTACAGTACCAAATGGATATTACTTAATAGAAAAAATAATATGACTATATTTATTGCATGTTACAGCAGTATATTTGACAATTCGGGTAATGGCACAAATTTTGTAGTGCTTGAAAACGAAATATTACTCAGAAAAGGAAAACTGAAGGGAAGACTTACATAGGGTTCAAAAATAGTAAAAAAACTTTTAAGCAGGGGAGAAAAATTGGAGACCCTTGCAACTGTAGGGCAAAATGTTTTGATAAAATATCGCATATTATAAAGTTGCAGCTTTTAGAAACTTTTAACAGCATTGGAGATAAAGAAAAACAGGATGTTTTTATTGAAAGACAAATTCAAATAAAATCAGTTGAAAGACGTAGGCCTAACTTTGGTAACGGCCTAAAACGTTTATGTTCTTGTGTATATACAATAAAAATAGGAAAAGAAGTAAAGAAGGTATATAAAATAGCCTTTTATGCAATATATGGTGTGAGTGGAAAAAGGGTTGAACGTATTGTTAAAAATTTGCAAGAAAATATTTCTGCTCCAAGAGATAAGCGTGAAAAATGCAGAAACCGTCGCAACATATTACCTGAAGACATTGTATATCAAATTCATGGTCACATCAGTAGTTAGGAAATGCCGATTCTGGCTCATTTTTATTATCATTTCTAGCTCATTTTCATTTTTAACCATAATTTCAACCATATATTAATATTAATATATGGTTCAATGTTATCCTTATTGAATATAAATTATTTAGATAAGAAATAAAATTTTTCAATTTTTAAAAAAATGAAAAAAAATTGAATTTTTTTAAATAAGTGTTAATTTTTTATTTCTTGTCGAAAAAAGTTGTGACGTCATATGACTTTTCTTGCTGTTTCTTGTGCGCTAAAGCGCTAATTGATCCTTCGGATCTGTGCGCATGCGCTAGGATTTAATTGTATCTTTTGTAATTAGGATCTAAATATTCAAGTAGTTCAAGGTGACCATTTTTTGCGGCATTATCAATTGCATCTTTTGTACCTTTATATCCTATTGAATGTAAATATTTAATTACTTTAAAGTGATTATATATTGCAGCCCAATTAATTGCATTTTCTGTTCCTTTATATCCTAATGAATGTAAATATTCTAGTATTTCATGATGACCATTTAATGCAGCTAAATTAATTGCATTTTCTGAACCTTTATATCCTATTGAATGTAAATATTTAATTACTTCAAGATTACCTTGTTCTGCAGCATTATCAATTGCATATTTAGTACCTTCATATTCTAATGAATATAAATATTCAAGTACTTTAAGGTGACTATTTAATAAAGCATAATTAACTGCTTTTTTCGTACCTTTATATCCTAGTGAATGTAAATATTTAAGTACTTCAAGGTGACCATTTTCTGCAGCCCAATTAATTGCATTTTCTGTTCCTTTATATCCTATTGAATGTAAATATTTAATTACTTTAAAGTGATTATATCTTGCAGCTAAATTAATTGCATTTTCTGTTCCTTTATATCCTATTGAATGTAAGTATTTAATTACTTTAAGGTGACCATTTGATGCAGCCCAATTAATTGAATCTTCTGTTCCTTTATAACCTATTAAATGTAAAAATTTAATTACTTTAAAACAATTATCTGCAGCAGCAAAATCAATTGCATTTTTTGTACCTTTTTTTTCTTTTTGCATTTTATTTTGCATTCTTTTTATATACAAAAGAAAATTATTTAACTCATTTTTTGCTATATATTTATTATAAAAAGTACAACATATTTTTTAAACTGCAGTCGTTTGCATTTTTTCTATTTCTTTTTTCTTATTTTCTATGACTAATAATTGATGTTGTACTAAATCTTCAATAAGTTCTTTTCCTTTTAAACTAATAGTTATTTTTCTTTTTTTATTACATTTTAAAACTGAAATCATTAGTTTTAATTCTTTTGTTATATTTTCTATCTCTTCAACTTCCGTTTGAATGTCATTTTCAATCTTTTTTATTTCTTCTATATCTTTTTTTTTATTTTCTAATTTTTTTATTTTCTTTTCTATTTGTTTCATTATATCTTCTGAGCTTACTTGCATCAAATCTTCTTCATCTATCATTTTTATTATGTAAAGAAATTTATTTAAATTATTTTTAAATAAATTTATTGTAAATAGTGAAAAACTTAATTTTGTGTACTTTCATCTTCATCATCATCGACATATTCAGTAATTTCTGTAACTTCAGTAGTTACTGTAGTAACTGTAGTAACTTCTTCATCTTCTTCATTATCTTCATCATCATCAACATATTCAGTAGTTTCTGTAATTTCAATAGTTTCTGTAATTTCTGTAATTTCAGTAACTTCATCATCTTCAGTCATTTCAATATCATGAGTATCTTTAATTATTTCAATATCATGAGTATTAATAATATTTAATTTTTCTTCTATTAATCTTAATCTTTCATCTATTAATTTTAAAAATTCTTCAAGTTTTTTTTCTAGATCATTCTTTTTATATACATAAGAAAATTATTTAACTCATTTTAATTTTTTTGATTTAAAATATTTTATCAAATAATAAAAAAAATTAATGATGATGAGATTAATGAAATGAATGATGAAATATCTGAATTTCAAAAAGAATTTAAACATTTTGAAGAAATGAGAAACTTTGAATTTGAAGAATCAGATTCTGAAGATGACACTTATTTTACATCTGATGATGAAACAATAGAAATTAAAGAAAAGTCTACAATTCCTTCAAAAACAGCACAAATTATGGAATTGTATAAAGATAAACTGAAATGGATTCATTATGTTCCAACTTATAATGATATTATTAATGATGATTATCCTACTATAGATAGTTTTTTAACAAAAAAACATAACAAAAACAGAAAATTTAGTTTTGAAAAACCATTTAATGTTGAAATGAATTTTACTGAAGATGGAAAACCTTCAGCAATTCATTTTGTTGAAAAATCACCAATTTTCTGTAATAGTATTTTAAAAGATAATTTTTGTCCTTTTGGATATAAATGTAAATACAATCATGATATTCCTTTTTGTAATACTGTAAAAGAAAGACTTATATGCACTAAATCTTCATGTCAATATAAACATATTCATATTTGCTCTGAATATCCTAAATGTAAGAATAAAGAGTGTGGATTATTTTATCCTAAAAAGTCAGAATTATTTAAATTAAGAAAAGTTAAAACTAAATTATGTAAATATATTCTTGATAAAAAAGAATGTAAAAATATAAATTGCAAATATGCTCATTCTATAAAAGAAATTGAAGAAAATGTAGAGAATTGTCATTATACTTCATGTAAACTAACAGAAAAGAAATTAATGAAAAATAAAAAAGGAGAAAAAATATTATTATATAAAAATATTAATAATAAAAAGTGTTATTATTTACATGAGAATGAACAAATTACAAATTATATTGTAAGAACTTTAAAATAAAAAAATATTATACTTAAAAGTATAATATTTAAAATGAATTAGGTCTCTTTGAGACCCAGGGTTCTTTCAGAACCTAGCGAAGCAAGAATCACATAGTGATTTAAAAAATTCTTTACATTTATAAAAAAAGAATGTCATATGTGAATAAGAGAAGAATGTTTTTAGATTATGAAAAGCATGAAAAATATACAATAACTTTTAATATTATTTCAGATTTAGAACATAGAGCAATAAATGATAAACATATTAAAGTATTCGCACAAGAAGATTTTACAGTAAAATTAAATTCATACAATAACATTTCTTTAATGTGTGGGGTTAAAATAGATAAAGGACATGTATTGATTTCACTTGCAGAAAATTATAAATCTACTCTAAATTTACTAAATTCTGTTGTAATGGAGTCTACTGATAATATTAAAATAACTTTATATAATAATGATAATAAAGATATAAACATTAAAAAAGGAGATTTGTTATGCTGTATTTCATCTTATAATGGTGTTTTTAATACAAATTATATATCACATAGGGAAATTGATAAAAAAGTAGAAGTAAAGCCTCAAATTGATAAAGAATCTGTAAAATCTATATTATCAAGTATTGGAGAAATAATTAAAGAAACTATATGTGATGAAGATAAACCTAGTCTAGATAAATCTGATAAAGCTCTATTTGATTTTGGTAAATAAAAGTGATTTAAAACAAATTTTTCTTTATAGAAAAAAGAAAATGCAATGTAATAGATCCAGATCTTAACCAGTTTTCAGAAAATCCATCTGCACCACCACTATCTGATCAGAATTTTAGATTAGTTAAAATAAATGAAATTCAAAATAAAATAGAATGTGAAAGAATTAGAAGAGAGATCTTAAGTAAGAAATATCATAGAGCTTCAAGAATCATTCCAGCAGTTGATAATACATTATTAGCAACTACTATGACACTTGGAGCTGTTGGTATTGGTTTTTTAACAACAATAGTTGGAACACCAGTAGCTATTGTATGTGAAGGTGCAGCATTAGGTATTGGTTTAATGTCATTTATAGGATCACAAGTTAATAAAAAATTAAACTTAAAAGCTGAAAAGCATGAAAAGATTAAAGTACTAGCTGATGCAAAACTAAATACAATAAGTAGTCTTATTTCTAAAGCTATATCAGATCAATATATTCATGATGTAGAATTTAATATGATACTTTCAGAACTTGAAAAGTTTCAAACTATGACTGAACAAATTAGAACAAAATCTAAAAATAATATAGATGAACAGACTAAAGAGTCAATATTTAATGAAGGAATAGTAAAAAGTACAAATGATATTATAGAAGCGTTAAATATGAGATTTAACAAGAATCAAAGTATAGGAATGATGAATAATACTCTTAAGAATTAAAAACATATATTATGTATTACTTGAACATAATATATGTTGATTTAAAAAAATATTATTTATATAAAATGTCATATGTAAAAGCTACAGATATTGAAGCAAGATTAAAATTAGCAAAAGAACTTGCTAGCGTAAAGAAAAGTATATATCAAGATGATATAAATGAAAAGTTAGGTTATGATACTTTACAGACTAACTTGGAAAAATTGTACAAACCATTAATAGATAGTCAATCTGGAATAAAAGAAGCCTTATCTAAATTAGAAAATAAAGCTGATCAATTAACTAATACTTTTTCAAGTTATCCTGCTTTACTAGATTCTGAAACTAAAGCAATTATGCCACCTGAAATTGGAAATAACATGTCATTAGGAGCTATCGCAGCAGAATATCTAAAGTTATATACTGCTAAAAATAGTAAAAAAGTATCAGATGACATATTTGGTATACATTACAATGAAGGTGATAAAAAATTTTACATTGGTAAAAAACCAATAACTATTGAAGGTAATGATATAACTATTGAAGATAAAAAATACACTGGTACACCTGGTCTTTGGGAGATTATAGTAAAATCTCATCCTGTTAAATATACTAACGATGATCGTAATAAGTATAAAGAAATTTAGATCATCTAGAAGTTATAAATACACTAATGTAATAAAATCTATTTGGGAAGAGATGATTGGAAAGTCTGGAAAAGGAGTTGTCATTCTTCCTAGTGATCCAAATGCACTATTTGAGATGCTTAAATTACGCTTATCTGCTTTACAAGCAGGCAATACTGGAGCTAGAAATGAAGCTGTTGCTTTTTGTGAGGAGTTGTTACGGCAGGGTCAAATAGATGATGATGAGTATAAAGCATTACAGAAAGCGATAACTTAAAGTGAATTAAAAAAATTATTTTATATATAAAAAATGACAAAATACTATGATACTCTTATAAATCTTTCAGAAGGTCAAAAAGAGAAAATTAAAAAAGCAATTGAATCTGATACTAATGCCGTTATAAAATTAACACATCAAGATCTAAATGGTGAACATAAAATAGCTTTAACAGATTCAAAAAGAAACAGAATGAAAGCAGCATATTTAAAAAATACTGGTATAACACTTTCACTTAGTAGAGCACAACTTAAACATAATGCTAAAGTAAATGGTGGATTTCTACCTCTACTAGGAATAATTGGAAGTTTAATTGCGTCAAAAGTTGTTCCGGCTATAGCAACAGGATTATTGACTGGAACAGCTGCAGCTGCTGGAAGTACTATAGTTAATAAAATTGCTGGAAATGGTATTATTTATGTGAAAAAGAATGGTAGTGGATTTAAAATTAGAAAAGTAGGAAAAGGAGTATTTTTAAACCCATGGAATGGTAGTTATAATTATTTAGATGGATATTATTCTAAAAATGGAAATGATTATTCATCAGTAGGTAGAGGCTTGTTATTAGGAGAAAATTCTCCACTTAAGAATATACCATTATTAGGTCTTCTTCTTTAAGTTCTGATAGAACCCAAGCTTCGCTAGGTTCCTTTGGAACCCAAGCTTCGCTAGGTTAAATATAATAAAAAATATATTTTTTTAAAAAATATATATATTTATTGTTTCCACAACAAAGTTGGATAATAAAATAAATCTAATCCACTTCTATACTTTCCATTTAATAGATCAGAAGACAAATCTATAACAACAAATCCATGCTTTTTTGACCAAGCTTCATTACAAAATTTTTTAAACTCATCTAATTTCATATCATTTGAAACATGGTCATTATAAATATGGTTTACATTTTTAGAATCTTGTTTAAACAAGCATATAAAATTTGCATTTTCTCTTATTGTTCTCCTAGGCAACTCAAAATAATTTTGTGCCAAGTAGAAACAATCTACATTGCTATGTCTTCCTCTTATATAGTACTTTTCACACTTGTTTTGCTTTGTTAATTGTAAATCATCAAATATCATTAAATTATTTTTAATACAGTTAAGATTTTCAGGTTCTGGTACATCCTCTGCTGTTTCAAAAAATTTACACTCTATATCTGTTTTATCTTTTAAATCTCTTGAAATGTTTTTAATAATAAACTCTGGACTTACATTGTTTTTATTTATTTGATCTTGCAAACTTAAATAGTTCAAGAATAACTTCTTTTGGTAATTTATTTTCAAAAGAATTTTTTAATATTTTGTATTCAGGTTGAAAAAGTGACTTTCCAAAAACTTGTAAATGATTATAGTCTAACCAAC